AAAGTCAACATTACATGTATGATTGTAAATAAAATTATTTTACACCACTTCATGCTTATGTCCGCCGGAAGAATATATGTTAAGACATGGTAATACATCAGTCCAAGACGTTTTTTCGGGGAAAAAAGTTAAAAATCCGTTTTCTTTTGTTAACTGAACTGTTGAGTTATTTACTGAACCGTTCACTGTTCATTCTTTTCTAAATCATACAGATGGAAAAGGACAGTTGACATAGCAAATAGACCTATCTATTTTACCAGACAAAGAGGCAATAATACGAAACCGTCATTAGATGAAAAAAGACACAGAACGCTCATTGCGCAAGACGAGGCAAAACGTACCAAATTATGTTAGACTTACGTATAGCAATCCATTCTTCTTATTTGCACGAGATAAAAAAGGAAAAAGAAAGACCGCGTGTTGTGCAACGTATTTGTCAATGAAAATTTCAAACAACTTTTGAATGTCACTTGCCAAGCTATGTCAAGTTGAATATCAATCGTACTTTTATTCTTGTCAAACCACGGGCAATGAACAAGGACAAGGATATGCCCAGCGTGCAAAACGAACATCTCTCACCTGTATTAGTTAGCCAATAGAAAGGCATTGCCTCGTGTTGCCCGCGCATACCAGGTAAAAATAGATAGGTCTATTCCAGACAGATCATTTGTTGTGTAATTTTTTTCCTGCTTTAAAATCAAATTTCTCAAATTCAGCTAATAGTTACAATCCGTTATGTGTTATGGCATATCCACCCCAAAAAAACTTAAATGATTATAACCGGTCAGAAAAAGAACAATTTTCAACATTTTTTATTTGATGTCCGTAGAGACATTCAAATATACATAATATTAAGAGAATTTTGCAAAATAGAATTATTCTACGTGGTAAAGAGCAAAAATATTTAAAATATTAATGTGCGTAATTTGTAATTTGTAATAGTATTCACCTTTGTCACTGATGGATTGACCCCCGTCAAAATTAGTCAACTTCATCACCGTCTTGCAGTCCTTTCTTTCCATTTAGAACGTCTTGTATTTTTAAAAATGTTATCAATGGGTTCTGTTTTTCTGTTAGTACCAGTGCAAGACGGTGTAAAATGATTTCTCACTCCTTCATAAGACAACATATTGACCTCCGTCTTGCAGCCCGTTATCCCTCCACAGGACGTCTTGCATCAGTATCCAGTGGCTATTCTACATTCAACCTTTAATCTAAATCAACAATGAAGTGGTGTAAAATGATATTTCATCCCTCTGAAAAATTGACAATTTCTATCTAATATTACAACCCCAAAACCTCCATGAAAACGTCTTGCATGTGTTAATCCAATTTTGTTTGTGTACAAATTAACTCAATAAATAAATGCAAGACGGTGTATAATTTTATATTTTCCTTGTTTATGACGACATTTTCTGGAATATTTTTTTCAGCGAAATCCCCCACTCCCATCTATTTCCCTGCACAAGTGCGTTTCAGCATCATGTTATCTAACTGATGATAACTATACAAGACGGTGTAAAATGATTTGATGAAATAGGCCTCGTATCCCGTACTATTACATTTATATCCTAGCAGAGATAATGTCAGTACAATGTTGTCACGTTAACATTTTTCTAAAATTAAATTCTGCGATAACTTCGAAAATACTAACAATTGGCCAATGGTTTATGGGACAGTTTAAGCTTGGGCCATATTATATCATGTTAAAATATTTGTACTCAGACTTGATACACCCTACCCTGTATTTCGGAGTGAAGGGGTTCGTTGGCACTTTATTATCTGGACTCCGCACCCGATACATGAGAATTTCGGAACCATACGATTTTCTTTAAATTTTAATATGTTGTAGGTATGGATAAGTATTTCACAAAAAAGTAAGTTAGAATATGGTGGCTTCCTCCGTTTGGCTACAGTGGCATATCAAAGTTACGACCATCAAAATACAATTTTGCATTGTTTTTGCATTTTGATGCTAAAAATGAGCCTATATTTGATGGATAGTAACAGCGGCGGGTATACGAAATAATTTTTAGTATGTAAGTCCAGTGGCGTACATTGGAATACTGAAAAATTGTGAAAAATCTTCTTTGTGCGGTGGTAATTGGAAAAAGTTAATCGGTTATCAGGCTGGAAATAAATTCATATTTGATAAATAATGATAGGGGCGGATATCCATATCTTCGTGATATCCAGCTTACATGCTGTAGGATCGAATGCTAAGACAAAATGTTAACCAGTTTGTTCTTGAAATACAACAAAATGAACCTGGACTTATACGGACTCGACTTTTCTCACGATTTACTCAAGCAACAAGACATACTACATACATTACTTCCAATGTCTTTGACTTAGAAGTAAATATTGAGGGTCTTCAGCTCTCCTACCAGATCCTATCACATCATGCTATTGCACATGTGAAGCAGGAGCTAGAAATCTGGGTGTGTGTGCATGCATGTATCCCGTATTTTGTAGTATTGGGGATACGGAAGGCACCAAGGAAATGTATAGTGCATTATCCTTCAACGAGATTGTTGAATCAGCCCTATGCAGTAAGCACATTGACTTGAAGTCAAGGTTGAAAAATACGCCATTTTACAGAAGTTTCAATAAACATTGAAATTTGGTATGCAGGATGGCTGTCAAATCAATAATTGAAATTAAGACATTTCAAGAAATTGAAATTAAGTCAAGCGACCTCGTACATTTCAAGAATTGCTATGCACTAAGGGAAAACTTGAAATAAAATTACAAGTCAAGGTTGAAAAAAGTCAATATTTTTAACGTAATTAGAAACTGGCCCGGAAAGAAACTTGAAATGATGTCGAATTGAAATCATAACCTTCAAACAATTGTTTTTTAAAATCTTTTTCGTGGCTACTTGGCGTTTTGCTCCAAATATTTGTAAAAAAAAAACAAAAATGGATTTAGTTTTGTATGTTCAATTAATTGAAGATGAAATTCAGAGGTAAGTACGTAAATTAAATTTATTATTGAGTTTATTCCTGATGTTCATTCTACTTTGGTTACCTATCTAAAATATTTGTGTATTAAAGACCTTGCTCCTTCCACATTTCAGGATAGACATACATCCTTCTTTTGATTAATAGTTAATTTCATCTTATAGATGTTTGTTTTTTAATGATTTAAGTAAAAAAGAAAAAAATGTATAGCTAAAGATAGCAACTTTTTTTATAGGCGTGATCTCAATATACATCGAAGGCAACTGAGAGATAGAAGTGACCCGTTATCTTTACCTGAAATTACTTTCAAAGAAATTTATAGAGTATCAAGGGAATTGGGTCGGTGGTTGTTAAACCAGAATGGTCCTCATATGAGGGATTCTGAGCGAACTACGTCTATCCCCAAAGCCCTAAGGGTATTGAAATTGGTCATTTTACTTTACAGATAAATATTTGAAATATTTTAGTTTTTTGCATCAATACATTTTTTATCTGAGGGATCTTATCAGAGAGGAATAGGTCAGGATTATTTATCTAACATGCACCAAACCTCTGTTAGTCGATGTCTTTCAGAAGTAACAGACCTTATGGTGGAAGTACTCGGGTACATCATAAAATTTCCTGAAACTGAGGAAGAAAAGAATCGGGAGAAGCAATTGTAAGTTTTAAGTAATTATTTCAACTGGATTGGAGAATATGTAGGTACCTTCATTCTAAAAAGATTTGCAAAATAATAAAGTTATGACAAAAAATTAAACATTCCAGCTTTAACAATTTTTGGCACCACTTTAAAATACCTACCTACTTCAGAAAATCCTTATAACATTTTTACCTGTAAAAATAGGCAAGTACCTAGCAGCTATTTCAAAAGTTATAAAGAATAAAATTACTACACTCTACATCTATTATATGTATGTATTTGTAGGTTTGTGGAAATGGGTGGATTTCCTGGAATAATAGGGTGTATTGATTGCACCCAGATAGCAATAATAGCACCCAAAACAGAAAATCCTGAAATGCCTGGGGTAATATTTTATTGCAGGAAGCAGTTCTATAGTTTAAATGTTCAGATCGTAAGTACAAATTTTCATATAGCCTTTTGTTTAGCTGTAAAAATTTTATTTGTTAATTACATTACAATTTTTAGGTTTGTAATGCGAAATTAAAAATCATGAATATCAATGCCAGGTTTCCAGGATCGGTACATGATTCGGCAATATGGCAGACGTCATTGGTTAGGCAATATTTGGCCAATAATTTTCGTCAAAATAGAAACATGACGTATTTGCTGGGTGAGCTTAAATTTTTGCATATACCTACAAAGGAATTGTCCATCTTCTCAAAGTGACTTTTTAAACTTAGAAAAATCAATAAATTCAAGTCTCAAAAAGTATTACAAAAAAAACTACTAAGTTATTTTTTAAGTGAATAAAATCATAATTTGTAGGAGATTCGGGTTATCCTTTGGAACCATGGCTTCTAACACCGATTGCCAATCCTGTTATGAATAATGAAAGAGAATATAATCGTCGCCACAAATCACTGAGAAACACAGTCGAGAGAACCAATGGTGTATTCAAACAGCGATTTAGATGCTGTCTTAAACGAAGGACATTGCACTACTCTCCGCAGAGGTCTGCTAAAATTATATATTCCTGTGCTATATTGCACAATTTGTGTATCGACCGAAATGAAATTTTAGATGATTGTAATGGTGAGTTGTAAAAATTCAGTTTTATGTTCAATGTTATCTAAGAAAATCTGATTTAAGTTGTTGCTGATGATGATCAAGAGGATCATGACGATGAGAATGAAGAGGATTTGGATCAGGTGGAAAGGAATCGTTTGCGAGAGGGACGAAATGTCAGGAACAGAGTAGTCGAAAACTATTGTTTCTAATAAATAAGTACCACCAGCTTTAGTTTCTAACTCGGTTTCTAATATATTTCTTGTATGGATAATAAAATTTGAATAAACGAAGTGAAAATTTTATTGAACATTTTTTTGTAGAAAGTTTATTACACAAATGATACATCTTTATTGTTTTATGTGTAATGCACCCATTAGATTTTCCAGTGCATCATTTAAAATGCATAAACTAATTTTTATGCAATTTAGAATTCTTTCAAATTCCCTCAGTAAAATGGGATTCAGCTCAAAAGATTCTCCTACAAAAAACTTTTAGAAAAAAAAAAATAAAACTAAAAATTTCATACCTAAACGCGTTTTGTATTTTATTCCTGTTTTTCTTGATTTGGTTTTGTATGTACACTTTTTAAACTTATTTTTTCTTTTAAAGCATAGCTCTATAATATCCGGGTGGCCATAAATTAAAATTTTTGATAGAATCTCTAACAGTTTTTTTTCCAGATTTGTTAATATTTCTATTATTGGTATTCCACCTCCAGTAAGCTCTTGCTCGAAGTGAATTCTTCTGGCTTTAGCTTTGACTTTCGTCTCCCAATCACTAAAAATCTTTCAAAATATCTTAGTATTTTAAAGAAGAGCTAGACATTCTTTTACCCTTTTCCAATTTGCAGTGGATCTTTCTGGAGCATTTTTTTCACCATTTAGCTGGTGACACAATTGTTGAAAGGCTTCTTCTCAAATTTCTTGAAGTGGAGATACATTTCGTATTGCTCTACTGTAGTTTTTAGTTTTCGAATTGCTATCAATAAAACACCAGATAAAATCATTTAAAAGAATGTTTATTTAAAAAAATAACTCGAAAAATAATATCAAAAACAACTCTCAAATACTTGCAAAACGAAAATAAAAATAAATAAATCTTCTAAAATCAAAAAACTGAAAAACTATTACCCACATAATCAAATAAAATACTCCTAAATATATATATACAAAAAAAAAACAATCTAAACTCTGAAATAAAACATTAATAACTACTGGTCTGGAGGGCTTTGTTTTAGTTATTTGGATTTTACATTTACATAAACCATATCTTATTTAGACTCTCTGATGGCAGAGGCAACGTTATTGATCGCATCAGCCATAGCTTGAATTGATTTAGCTATATCTTGCAAACCTTTATTTGTAGTATTTATATGCTCACCCAGTAGTGCTAAAATATTTAAGGCCACTTTCATTCAACTTTAAAATAAATAAAGAAAATAACATGAAAAAGCAACTAATAAAGTTTTTCAATTTATACTAATAATTAGGTATGGTGCACATAAAGATATGCACAATTACACAATACTCCTTACAACTTTCATTTCTATTGTGTTTTATATGAAGATATGGATTTGAATTTCTTAGGGTGTTTTATATTAAAAAAAAAAATACTTACATTGAGTTGATTTGGTAGACTTTTTTTTAAATATTTGTTTGGGCCTTTTGCCTTTATCAGTCTCCTCAATCTTGTCAGCCACAGACTGAGCTGATTGAGCAACTTCAACTCTCTGCTCGTTTTTTTCCACTTCTGAATCTGACTCCACTATGGGAAGTTCTGGTTCCTCCACCACCAAAAATCCTTTTTCATCGACTTGATAAATTTCTATAAATAAGAATGAAGAATAAGAATTATTTTCATTATTGCCATCTACAGTCATTTGTGTACAAAGATGACCACCAAACTAGGTAGACAGGGACATCAAGACCAGTTAGATTTTGTATGCAAAATAGCCCCTTTTATACAGAAATATGATCGGAAATATAGCTTACCATTCTGAACTGTCAATCCCAGCTCTGGTACCTGTGCCATCCCAGAACATGATGCAAAAATACCCATTATTTCTGCACATTTCGTTTCTGTATCGTTCAAATTTTTCTCACCCCTAATTTTTGATTTAATGTGAGACTTTAGTTCAGTGAATGCCTACAATATAAAATATGTTCAGTAATAGGGAAAAGTGTAACTACACTATTAAAGAGAACTACAGTTGAATCATACTCTCATAGGATAGCACAGGGATCTTATTTCTAATTAGCTGGATTTATCTCCATTTATTTGTAAATATGTTATCTCTGGAACCTGCTCCTGCTAGGTAAAAATAAAACAAAAATTGAGACAGGCTTTTGGCTAACAGAACTGTAGGATTGTAATATTATTTATCCATCGTGAAATTTGTCAAAATTATTTACCAGTTTTAAGGGCACTAAACTGGTCCAAAACTAGTAATTGTTACATGTGAAAAGTTATTAGTGATTGGAAATGTACTCCTTTAATTTGGGGCATGTATTTGTGATTTTATTGTACCTTTTTCCATCCTTCCCCATTTTTTTCTACTCCCCCTAAAGCATTTAATTGCAGGGCAATATTTTCCCAGGCATTTTTTTTTACTTCGGGGGTACCTTTGCCCCATCTAATGCAGTCTGATTTCTCAATTAAATCAATTAGGTGTTTGTACTGCTCACTGCTAGCCTTCTTTGGCGGCATCTGTAACAAAAATTATAAGACGCCTGGCTCACTAACAAAAGTAGTTAATTCATAAGGCAGCAACTTACCTTTGCTTTATTTAAATATAAATTTAAATTGTTGAAAACCTACGTTCACAAATTTTACAATCCAATTTTCAAACAACACAACGAACACAACAACAACAATAAACAAACCGCTGAAAATTGACAACTGATTTATAGGTTATGATAAATAAATTCTTCTTTCTTTATCCAATTTCCTTTAAAAAACCACGTTGCCAAATGTAAACTTGACATTAATTTCAATCAATTTTTATTTCAATAATTTTTAGTCAAGCTTGGTTAGTGCATACCAATTTTTTTCATTATTGAAATGCAAGTCAATATTTATTGGAATTATTTCAACCTTGACTCTAAACTCAATGTCGTTACTGCATAGGGCCGATTGTCTTTAAGATTTTCAAGATCGTCGTCCTTCGTCCTGCAGTTGGACAGTAAACAGTAAAGCTTAGGATAAGGTGATATTAATAATCATTTTCAAGTGATCGATGTGTTGAAAGTTATATGAATAATTTTTGTTTTTCAGCCAGATGACCTAATTACTTTTTCCAATGACCACCTCACAAAGCATATTTTTCACAATTTTTTATTACTGTTATCAGTATTATCCACGGCACTCGACTCAACACTGGATGAAAATGGTTGTATTCTAAGTTCAAATATATGCATCTATCATTATTTATCAAATAGAACTTATTTTTAACCTGATAAGTGATAACCTAATTACTTTTCCCAATTACCACCACACAACGAAGATTTTTCACCATTTCTTGCTACTGTTATTTTATTTACAATCATACATGTAATGTTGACTTTACTGACTTTTAAAAAGTTTGAAAATGTCACTTTTTTGACTTTTACTTTCGGCCCACGGGTCGAAAGTTTACTTTCGACCCGTGGGCCGAAAGTGAATGAAATTTTCAAAATTTATTGTATTTTTTGACTTTTACTTTCGGCCCACGGGTCGAAAGTAAATGAAATTGTTAATTATTGTATTTTTTTGGTTTCAATTCAAATAAAGATATAAAAATTTGAATGATTGTAAATAAAATAGTATACATACCTCGGTGAAAAGTTTCATTACTGTCTCGAGATTTTAGTTAGACCTCGGCTGCGCCTCAGTCTAACTAAAATCTCTCGACAGTAATGAAACACTTTCCACCTCGGTATGTAATATACTATTATTTACAATCATACATGTAATGTTGACTTTACTGACTTTTAAAAAGTTCGAAAATGTCACTTTTTTGACTTATACTTTCGGCCCACGGGTCGAAAGTTTACTTTCGACCCGTGGGCCGAAAGTAAATGAAATTTTTAAAATTTATTGTATTTTTTGACTCTTACTTTCGGCCCGTGGTCCGAAAGTAAATGAAATTGTTAATTATTGAATTTTTCAGTTTTAATCCAAATGAAACTTTCAAAATTCGAATGATTGTAAATAAAATAGTATACATACCTCGGTGAAAACTTTCATTACTGTCTCGAGATTTCAGTTTTTCAGTCGACAGTAATGAAACACTTTCCACCTCGGTATGTAATAGTATATTACATACCGAGGTGGAAAGTGTTTCATTACTGTCGAGAGATTTTGGTTACACCGAGGCACAGCCGAGGTCTAACTAAAATCTCGAGACAGTAATGAAACTTTTCACCGAGGTATGTATACTATTTTATTTACAATCATTCGAATTTTGAAATTTTTATTTGAATTAATACTTACAAATACAATAATTGACAATTTCATTTACTTTCGGCCCACGGGTCCAAAGTTTACTTTCGACCCGTGGGCCGAAAGTGAAAGTCAAAAAATACAATAAATTTTAAAAATTTCATTTACTTTCGGCCCACGGGTCGAAAGTAAACTTTCGACCCGTGGGCCGAAAGTAAAAGTAAAAAAAGTGACATTTTCGAACTTTTTAAAAGTCAGTAAAGTCAACATTACATGTATGATTGTAAATAAAATACTATTTCACTCCCTCATGAGACAACGCATTGACATCCGTCTTGCAGTCCGTTATCCCGCCACAGGACGTCTTGTATCAGTATCCAGTAGCTATTCTACATTCAAGCTTTAATCTAGATCAAAAATGGAGTGGTGTAAAATGATTTTTCACCCCTTTCAAAAATTGACAATTTCCATCTTATATTACAGCCCCAAAACCCCCATGAAAACGTCTTGCACGTGTTAATCCAATTTTGTTTGTGTACAAATTAACTCAATAAACAAAAGCAAGACGGTGTATAATTATATATTTTCCTTGTTTATGACGACATTTTCTGAAACATTCTTTTCAGCGAAATCCCCCACTCCCATCTATTTCCCTGCACAAGTGCGTTTCAGTACCATGTTATCTAACTGATGATAAGAATGCAAGACGGTGTAAGATGATTTGATGAAATAGGCCTCGTATCCCGTACTATAAATAAAACTTGTAATTGAAAGTTTTTTTTTTGAAGGGGTTTATTTATTTCCTCCTGTTTACGTTTAAGTTCGTTATTCGCTTTCAAATGATGTAAATAATAATTTGCCTTTTTCTAGTAAAAATAAAAAAAGTGCCGTTTTATTAAGTTGTGAATTGCACTCAATAATGACATTTTTGCACTGAACATTCAAGTGAAAAATCAATTAATACTTACTCAGCTACTTGCCAAATCCTGTTTACGAAAATATCAATTTTTGTTAAAGTTCTCAAAACACTAAAAATCAACGCAAAAATCAACACGAAGATTTTGCACACTCACATTTCCCGTATCAGGTAATCTTTGTAAAATGGACACAATTTCTTTCATGGGTGCCGTTTTACTGGGAAATCTTTCCCTGTAAATTCTGGCCGATGTTTGTAAACATTTAATTTTCAAAAAAGAATGAATTACGCGCGTTTCCAATACTTCAACTAACTGACATTTAACAAATCAAGATCATCAGTTCAACCAAGGTTCTCTCTGTGCTATGTTGCCAGATGTTTAGATACCGAAGTACGAGTAAAGTTTTTATGTTGTTTTTTCAATTTTTCATCATTGTTGTTGACTAAAAATGCATAATTGCTTAATAATTGGATGAACTAAATTTTTTTTATCTACAAGCGTGCGGTAACTAAGGTATATTACACGATTTTGCGTGCGGTAAGTACCACATTACCGCACATACCTACATAGGTACGTACCTTCAATTACCTACCAGAGATAAATTACCTACCTATCACCTACATTCTACTTGTCCGCTGTTAAAGATGACAGACTCAATTTTTTTTGTATGATTTTTTAAATTTTTTTCGGATACCGCACGCTTGTAGATAAGATACTGTATACAGGGTGGAATTTTTAAATGGAATAAATTCAGTATCAGAAAGTCTATTTTTTATTTTCTGGAAAAAAAAAAAAAAAAAACGTGTCCCTTTATTATTAGTTTGGCACATTTTTTCGGCCTTTTCATGGAGTTTACCCGACTTTTACGGGTAGAAGCCACCCCAACTTTTTTTTTTCAAATGTGAAGATATGTATTGTGATAGCTCGTTGGAATAGGCATGAAAAAAGGAAAATGACCGATTATCTACTTTTGAATTTCGGTGATCTAGAAAGCGAGAAAAACATGAAAAAAAATATTTTTCCACACAATTTTTTCACAGTTAAAATAGTTGAATATCTTCAGCATTTCTTCTTGGTAGAACTCTAATGCGAAACAAGCCCCATTTGTAACGTTATGTAATTATTTCTGACGTCAACACACTATTTGATGCCTGATACTCGGATTTTCAACCCTAAAATAGTGTATTAATGTCAAAAATAATTACAAAACTAGATCATCGAAATGCAAAAGTAAATAATGGGTCATATTCCTTTTTTTATGCCCATTCCAATGAGCTATCACAATACATATCTTTACATTTAAAAAAAAAAAGTTGGGGTGGTTTCTACCCTTAAGAGAGGAGTAAATTCCATAAAAAGTCCGAAAAAATGTGCCAAACTGAAAAAAAGGGACCCGTTTTTTTTTTATTTTTCCAGAAAATAAACAGGTTTTCTGATAATGTATTCCATTTAAAAATTCCACCTTGTATAATACGTATGGTAATTAGGATATTACCGCCCTTAGAGATTGCAAACCTCGCCTCACCGGCTCGGTTTGCAAATTTCCCTCGCGTGCGGTAATAACCTAGTTACCACACTTATTATATAATATACTATTACATCTCATAATGACTAAAATTTTCTTAATCTTATTTGTCAAAAAATGTCAAAATTTCAAAGGCCTTTTTCTTGAAAATGGTTGAGTTTGGACCCCATGTTGTATAAAATTTTTGGTTCAAAATGGGCCATATTTTCACGTGTTAAAATTTTTGTAGTCAAACCTGATACACCCTGTATTATTATTAAAAAATCCTTGACTATATAAGAAATCTAACATCAAAAAGATACATATAAAACGAATCCATAAATCCATAAAACTTGTTAGGGCCGATCTTTACCATCTTTGAAAAATAAAAGAAAAAAGTAAATAATCGACACCAGAATTTGACGGTTTATATTCGGCGGTATTCTACGCGATGCCCGTATTCGGGACATGTTCGACCACGGCCTCTGAATAAGGAATAAGCTTGCAAAAAACAGGGCCAATTCGTTTTTTCGGTAGGGGCCTAACAAGTTGCACGAACACCCGGGCTACGATTATCCTAATACAATTTTCTGCTCGGGAAAACCTTATCAAATACATTCATCTACCACTAGTTACTTATTTTAAAAGCAAGAGGGCAAGTGATTCCTAAAGGAATGAACGGAAAAAACTTTTCGGGCCTAGGCCAGGAAAGTTTGGCGATCTAGGAACAACACAAAAGCATTCCTCATTTTTTTCATTCCTGAGCGATCGCAGAAAAAAATAGTATGTGTATTTCAGAGGAAAAGCACATTCTTGGAAAATGTGTCACTTTTCCACCTAAATACACAATATACTAGTGTTTAAAT